TTTTTGTTAGAATTTTCGTTCAATAAGATGTCTCCATAAAAGTGTAATCCACGTTACTTCATGAAAATGACCATATTTTTTTTTAGAATTGTATGTATTTATTAGATAGTATGCCTTATTTACAATTTTATATTGGGACAATACAATATCAATCCCAAAGCCACTAAATTTCAGCCGATTTCTCACAATGATACTTCACAGGTTTAATGTTGAAGAGATTTTTAAAGATGTTATCTACGTGACGTGACACCATAACATAAAACCTGTACACCCATTGTCACTATAAGGATTTTTAAATAAATGGACCTATTCAGTATAATAATCTAGTGAAGGAGATGCTCTTTCATTACTTTAACCGTTTGAGTTGAGGTGAGGTGAAATTGAGTTTAAACGTTTGATGGGTGCTAAGGGATGTCTGTGTAATCTACATGACCTCATTCCAAAATAAGCATATTTTTTTCGCGACTCCTACTCAGGTAAGACAGTTTTATGGGTCTAGGGTTATGGCGTGAACTATGCCCCTGGCAGGATTCAATTCACAAAATTAATAATTCCGACGAAGAGACGGGACTAAAATCTTCAACTTCTACTCTACGATTTGTTTAGATGGGTTTCGAGGCCTAAGCGCATTAATAACATTAAAGTTCAGGAAAGGATGACGATTTTCTTAGAACAACATGTCGTTAGGGTCAAGGAGGAAAGTATAATCCGGGCTTTCCTGAAGGTTTTTGATGTTGTTTAGTGTTGTTGACATTTAACCTTGTGTGGTAACGCGATAATCCGTCACATAACTTCATGAACTGATAATACCTGCACTCTCCATCATATAAATGTTGCGCATAATGAAACTAGGTTTGGTAATCAAGTTTTGTTTCAATGCAAATTGAAGTAACCACAAAGCTGACGTATTTTAGAACAGAAAATGTATGTCACTCATTAGGAAAATTATTCATGCTTGGTAAAACATCAAGGTGATACACAATCAGATTGCTGTAGGCACTCTTTCTATGTAAGGGATGGCGGGGTAGCTAATTGGTTAAAACGTCCACTCGTCACGCTAAAGGACTGTGTTCGATTGACGATGATGATAGGATATTTATATAGCGCACATATCCACGCAACTATTATATGGTCAAGGCGCTTGAGTGCTCCCTTGATCAACGGGTGTCTTTTTTCTGGCATTCTTTCAACCATCTCAACTCCCTGGGGAGTATTCAGCTCATGCAGCCTGTTAGGCGCAGCGAGTTATCACACAGCCTCATCCTCACAAGGTACCCATTTGCAGCTGGGTGAACTCGGACATATAGTCACAGTATTTTGTTCCATAGTACTGCTCGTTAATATACCCGCAACTTATGATACCGTTCTAGTTTTTAATTGAGAGCTGTGATAATCTAGTATTTTTACTTTCCTTCGATGATAGGTTTTTACGTTTTAAATTTATTAGTTTGAACATTGTTTAATTTGTTCTCGTGACAATATGGCTGCAATATTGCCGATGTGACGCTATATATTAACTCACTCACTCTGATCTGAAAAAAACCCCAGCGGTTATTATTAACTATCAACCATCTATTCTACCTGACAATTCTCGGACAATTTGCCTTGTACCAACTCTATAACAAATTCTAAATAACGCACCTTCAGATAAACGAACGAGAATAGATGTTAGCAACATCATGAAATGATATAACTACCTTGGATCCACAGCAGGAATAGGTTCCCACATGCATATATAGTATAACAAAATAAAAAATGATATAACTACCTTTGACCCACATCGGGGCAATGGTTCCACATGCCGCTCCAGATACAGGTCTGGTCAGAATGCTTGTCGTATTGGTGGAGTCATACCATCCGGGCGAAAGACGGCTGTCTTGATGCCAAGCGGAAAGATCGAAGTTGGATGGGCCTCTTAACTGCAGATAAAGTTGGTCAAGAGTGAGTGGAGTTAGTCTTACGCCGCATTCAGCGATATTCCAGCTATATGTCGGCCTGTAAATAATCGAGTCTGGACCAGACAATCCAGTGACCTACAGCATGAGCATCGATCTACGCAATTGGGATTCGATGACATATGTCAACCAAGTCTGACCACCCGATCCCGTTAGTCGCCTCTTACGACAAGCATGGTTTACTGAAGATCAATTCTAATCCGGATCTTCACGGGTCAGTTGGTCAAGAAGAATTGCTTGTACATATATATATTGATTCATAAATCGGAAATGTCTGACCCGTGAAAGTATTCAAACAGAGCTTTGTCCCAAGGATCGCTGTTCATATTCAAGTCAGGGTCAGACAGATCTTTGAAACTGTCACCAACGTTCTACAAAGTCTGAACAGTGTGAGGCATGAATGTGGGGAATCGAACCACCAGACTACTAAATCTGGCCCTAAAGGATTTAGTCACAAACGGAAGTAAACTGGTACGGTGAAAATGTAATACTTACCACCATCAGAAGTAGGGCCTGTATGTCCTGCTACACATTTGCATGTGAAACCGTCACGGCCTGCGACACATTCACCTCCATTTGCGCATGGCGAACGGAGACAGTAGTTAGGGGCTGAAAAACACCCATAAAATACCACAAAATTCATCGGGGCAGTAACACTACTCTTCAAAATCACAATTACCACATTCCCCAGCTAGGCTAATGATTATTCCCGCTGTCGACGGGATAGACTGCTGGCATCTTCTCGGGGAAAGGGACATAACTGACCATGAAAGTCCAGTTTCTACCCTTGCTGAAAAAATCTGGCATTATGTAAAGCTGACTAGTGTAACAAATCTATGCATATTCTGCCATCGAAATCGCCATCCGAGGTAATAAAAAATGGATTTCTACGGCGCCTGGTATCCAACTCGAAGCTGTTCAACAGCGAGTCAATTCTTTCTGCACATCTTATCGTCAGGCGGGTGGAGTTCCAGGGGGTTGGGCAGAGACAGAAAAGCCATGACTGGCATGTTTTGCCCCGGTATTTTTCCAACCGTAGGCTCCGTGCTGGTTTACAGAGACTGATCAAGTCCCTAAGGTACACAGGGTAGTCTTGATTAATCACCGCTCCATATGAACCGGCGTCTTGAACCTCAACAGGTAGCCAGCGAAGTTGTTTAATGACAACTGTGATGTGACTCTCGCCGCTCTTTCTGCAGACGTTGGATATTTCCAACTCCGTAGAGTAGTTTGATGCAATAGTCCAGTCTTGATGTTACATTATTACATAGGAGTGGACTAGCAACTGTGTCGCATCTGTGTCAAGGTAGCGACGATCTTCCCGATGTTCCTCAGATTGATATTCGCTGTCCTGCATGTGTTCAGAGCGTGCTGGTCTGGTGACATTGTCTCAGAGATTCTTCACCTTGTCGGTCGGGTGTATGCTTGAGTCATCAATCATGAGTGGGGATGTTGTCACTTTGTTAAATTGTGCCCAGGTGCTAAAGATCATGTACTCCATTTAGTCATCATTCAACCCCAAGAAGTCTACTTGCGAAAATCTGCAAGGCATGCTTCAATCTGATGTTGGCAAAGCGGTACAGAGTTAGGTACGACAGTCATGTATAGCCAATTGCCGTCAGCATACCAGTGGAATCGTAGGCCATGTCGCCTAATCATATCACCAATTGGCGAGATATACAGCGAGAATAATACTGGGCCGAGAACCGATCCTCGAGGCACGACAGATTCTAAGTGATGGTCCTCAGATGTTGGACCATCTACTGACACCCTCTTCACTCTATCCGACATGTATATTCTGAACCAGTGTAAAGCAGTTCCGTTGATTCTGGTGTTTTCCAGCCTGTTGAGGAGTATCTGGTGGTCGACCGTGTCAAAGGCCACTGATAGGTCGAAGAGCACAAGTAGTGTCAGTAGTAGGAAAAAGACATGGTGACTTCTGTGGAGATTTCCATTGACTGCAGGATTTGCAAAGCATTTGAAGGATGTTTTCCAAATCCTTCCAAGTCAAAACACCTGGTGCACTTCGCAAAGTAATGTTCGTCATGGGTGGGTTCTGCCACAAATGTTCTATTTGAAGTCAGTGCAGGTGATTTTTAATTTGGTCAATTGGAAGGACATAGAAGGGACATAACTCATGATGAGCACAGTTGGCGCTAGGATCGAGTCTCCAATTTCTATTAGTTCGACAAAGGTGGAAACGGAACTTCAACATTCTGTTAACTCCCTTGGTTTCATTGCCATTGGCTCACTTTCTACCAGGTATCGTCATGTGTGGGTCATCTGTCTGATTGTAATGCTCAGTACTAAGAGGTGTGCATGGCTACAGTTGGTAATGATCAGGATCAGGCAGGGATGTCTGAACTGTTTGACACTACATACAATAACAACAGTTTAAACAACCACACAGGCTCTTTACGTTACACAATTTTCCAAAGTCGATTCGGTGGATCATAATTGTAAGGTAGTAATACCAAATATATTTTTGTTCTACGATGACATTGTTCCGAAATGTGTTCAAATGTGAGTTGTGCTGAACGCCGGTTTGTGAGAAGTATTTTTGATTCAGCCATGTGAATATTGCATCGGAGGAAAGCCATTTTTAGTTAACTAACGAGATTGGCATTCAATTAATCTGCAATAGAATCCGGACATTACGAATTCACGCAGCTCTGAATCGCAATTTGCAGTCACAACTGATTGAACTTTCTTCAGTAAGCTGATTTAGGTGAGTTATTTATATCACTGTTGGCGTCCTTGTACATATCACTAATTAGGCCTGGGTCAAATCCTGGCTTCCATTTGTTTATTGGCTTTTCCCTTGTTAAATGCCACCATTTTTTTCTCATCATCCATGCCTGGAAAAAGAATCCCCTGGCTTCCACTTGTTCATCCACGTTACGAATTTAGTGCTAATTAACTACTGGCTTCCCTTGTTATCTTATCACTCTTATTTTTTCATGTACACATGTAGCTGTCTGTTTCCTAGTCTTTATAAAGCGAAATAGAAAGCCTATCAAAACAATTAAAATTCCTAAAGTGGCAAAGCAAATACCAAAATTCAAATTCTAAACTAAAACACCTACTAAAAACACTAAAAAAACTACCAAAATAAAATAAAAAACATTGACAGGGCGATAACCTAACTACAAACAGGTCACTCAAAATTAAATTCCCATCTACATAAACACTACCAAACAGACAAATGCACACACTGCAACGAAACAGAAACGCCAGAACACGTCCTACTACACTGCACACACCATCTTGCGACTGTCATGGTCGCACACATTTTGCAATTGTTTTTGACAGTCAAACACACTCGCAAACCCCTTTGCAGCTGATGGAGAGTAATTGCGATCAAAAGTCCATGTTTGAAACCGCACTGAGACTAACTTTCGACCTTATTGCGAGTCTGTAAGTGATGACGAGCAGAGGCCAATTTTCGGTCGTAACTCGGTCGCAAGACCGGTGTAACCGGGCAGTTAGTGTCTACTGTCGGAATATATCCATAATTATTGAGCAGGAAAAGCAAAATGCAAGTGGAAATGTACGTCAAGACTTAATACATTGTAAAACATAGAACAAGTGTCATGAGGCCCGATACAAAACCAACACATGAGACAAATGCAAAATATCATGGAGCACCGTCCATCACAATGTAGTTTCTGAAGGCTATGACCTTAGTGATTTGGCCGATTACTGATTTACAAATACAAGTGTAGAACGCGTTTGAAATATTTACCTTTCCTCCCAATAGGATATATTCCTCCGCAAGAACCTACACCTGGTGGATAATCTAACATGCTCCCACCATCAGCAGATGTCACGGGGGTCGTATTATTCCCTGTATCATCTTTACCAAGGTCTCCAACATGTGGCCACAGCAAGTGGAAGTCCTTCGGGAAGCTAGGATTTCGGTAGATAACATCTCGTGGATGGTTTAAACATATTTATTCATTTACTCATGATGGGATTGGCAAACAAGCAATAAAACATGCTTATATCAATGCCGCTCCCTAACAATGATACAAATAGTAATAACAATAATGATAGTGACGTACACATGAGCTGGGTGCAAAACATAATGTGAATCTTCAAGGAACAATATTGACGATATAATGTGTTACAATTTGCAAACTTTCGTTGAAGGCAAATAAACTAGAAGCTGTTGTGATCTCAGTATAACAGCAAGGCACGGCATGTACAATACAACTAAGTTAAACAAATTGCGAGAATCTCCGGGAAGATATGATGTAGTTATGTACCGATTTTAGTAGTTCCAGATTTACCTGTTCTGATGAGACCGAATGACCGAATAAGATTGATGACAAATTACATCCTCTACTAAAGAAGTATGCATTTGATCTCATGTCGTTAAATATGGGACAGATGAGGAAGAAATCACACAGTTTCATTTAGGACTATCAGATATATGTCTTGAAAGCTTATCTCCATTTAAATCGCTACACCCAAGCCGAAGTCGGGAGTGGATTATCTGGCAAGATCTTGAACCATGGGAAAGATTAAAGTAGATTTCACTGGTGTTGTGTTCTTTTAGTTTGTTTTTGAATTCCCCAAGAGTATTGGCATTTACGATATCAGGAGGGAGAGAGTTCCAGATGTTTACCGTGTTAGGGATAAATGACCTGGAGTACGTCCACTTACAGATGATACATTTCCTGGAACTAAACTAGACAAATAATCTGGAACTAGTTTGTGAACCATTTTGTAAAATATGTATAATTTTTGACGGCGTCTTCTATTTTCAAGTGAGGAAATATTTGTCTCAGAATATAGTTTGTTATGACTTGTGCCGCGAACTGCTCCGCAGATAGTTCTTATAGCGTCTAGATTTAATTTCTCTAGAAGAAGCGTTTGCTCTTTAGTGCAATTATCCCATACATGACACGCCTAGTCAAATATTGGTAAAATAAATGATTTGTACATTGTCAGCAGCATTTTCCTGTTGTAGCGATATTTAAAACTTCGTAGGCAGTTTATCATTGGACTGACTTTTTTTATGACATTTTCAATTTGACTATGCCACATACAATCTTGTTGAAGAGTGAGTGAGTGAGTTAATATTTAACGTGACATCGGCAATATTGCAGCCGTATCGCGACGAAAACAAGCCATACAATAGAAAGTAGAAACATTTTGAAGATTAAAACCTGTCGACGATGGACGGTAAAAAGACTAGAGAATCACAGTTATAAATATAAAACTAGCGCAAAGTTAAAATATTCCAATTAATGAAGACAATACAATATAAAATACGGGCTATAGATCGCCAACAACTGAAGGTAGATCACCATACTAAGGCCCATGGGGACTTACATTACTTTTGCTACCTGCATGGACCCTAGCTGGATTTACACCATCCCTTCAGCCATTGGCGTTGATGGTGAGATTTAGCCATACATTAAAAACACAAAAATACTACGATTAAAAACCTGGTACACTTAAATTGACTTGAAATGTTTTGGGACTTACGTACCCTCGCAGGAGGACATTAATTTTACGCTACTTCAACCCCCTTTGAGGGTACAGCCACTAACAATCTCAGTTACTAATTCAAACTACCAATAATAAAGTATATATCTATTTACAAATCACTTAACAAATCTAATTCTTTTTAAAATGCAATAATTAAATGAGAACTGACATTATTAAAAAGATCCTGCATAGTGTTTACTTTGAAATAGTTATCCCTTGTGATGGAATATTCAATGCAGTCAAGCAAGACATGCTTGACTGTGATTCTTTCATCACAAGGGATGCAAAATGGAGGATCTTCGCCTTTCAATAAATATCCATGAGTATATCTAGTATGGCCAATGCGACATCGCCGCATAATGACCTCTTCGAATCTGGACTGACAACCCATGTAGGTGTAACCAATGTAGGGTTTTATTGCATGTAATTTATTAATACCTACTTGGGTGTTCCACTTCTTCTGCATCAGATCACGGATGTAGGTTCTAATGCTAGCTTTGTAATCCGAATATGGGATAAGAAGTGGTGTCACAGACGTGTTGATTGCTGCCTTAGCAGCAAGATCAGCCATGGTGTTCCAAGAAATGCCAACGTGGGTGGGTAACCAACAAAAGACGATGTCGCATTGGCCAGTAGCAAGTTCATTGTACAATTCAATAATTTCTAATAAAAGTGGATGTTTGCAAGAAAGACTTTTAAAAGCCTGATGACACGAAAGAGAATCAGAAAAGATGATATGATGTTTATATTTAGGGTGTTTATTATTATATTGAAGAGCTGTTAATATGGCGTTAGCTTCTGCTGTGAAAATAGAGCTGTTACATGGTAATTGAAAAGATATTGTTCGGGATCCAATGACAGTGGCACATGCAACCGCGCCATCATCCTTGGACCCATCTGTAAATAAGGATTTGTATGTATTATATTTATTTCGTAATTGACTAAATTCTTGTTTATACTGTAATTCATTTGTTTCTGATTTTTTAAATGTAGTTAATGTTAGGTCAACTTGTGGACTAACCAATTGCCAAGGCGGAGAAGAAAGAAGACGAGAGGGAGCTATATTTTCCAGCTCAATGCCAGCAGCAGAAAGGAATGGTTTAATTCTGAAACCAAGTGGCGGAACAAGAGAAGACTTTTTATTGTACAAATCCTCATAAAGAGGATTGAAAACACAGTTAAATGCAGGATTAGACTTGTTAGAGTATAGTTTTGTTATATATTGTAAAGTTAATTTAATACGGCGTTGTGTAAGAGATGGCTCATCAGCCTCAACGTAAAGACTGTCAACAAGAAGGTTCTGATGGACCCAAGACAAAGTCTTAGACCTTGGTGGTGGACAGAATCTAATAGTTTTAGGTTACTTTTGTAGGCTCAACAATAAACGATGGAGCCATAATCAAGTTTCGATCGCACCAATGATCGATATAGATGTAGGAGGGTAGCTTGATCCCCTCCCCACTTTGAATGAGAAACTACTTTCAATAAGTCAAGTGCCTTCAGGCATTTATTTTTCAAGGATTTGATATGCGGAAGAAAAGTTAAATGGGAGTCAAAAGTTAGACCCAAGAACTTGGCCTCTTTGACAACTTTGATTGAAGTGCCATTTAAGTTAGTTCTGGGTCCTTGTGTGGCTTATATTTTCTACAGAAGTGTATACAATTAGTTTTTGACTTAGAAAATTTATAGGCGTTTTAAAGACACCATTTATTTATTTTGTTTAAACACAATTGCAGTTGCCGTTCAATAGTATGCATATTTTTACCGCGACAAGAAATATTGAAATCATCCCCAAACAGCGACCCATCGATTGAATCATTTAAAACCTTGGACAAACTATTTATCTTGATACTAAAAAGTGTGACAGACAAAATGCTGCCTTGTGGAACACCCTGATCCTGATTGTAATGATCAGACAGGGTAGAACCCACGCGGACTTGAAATTGCCTGTCAGTTAAAAATTTGGATATGAATTGAAGCAAATGGCCTCGCAATCCAAAATCGTGTAAATCTCTTAAAATCCCATGTTTCCAAGTAGTGTCATAGGCTTTTTCTAAATCGAAAAAGATCGACACTGCATGCTGTTTTTGAATAAAGGCATTTTTAACAGGATTCTAAACGCACTAAATGATCGATAGTACTTCTGTTTTTACGGAAACCACATTGAATATCCTTTATAAGATTATTGGTTTCCAAGTACCAAACAAGTCGATTATTTATCATGCGTTCCATGGTCTTGCAAACACAGTTAGTTAGTGAAATCGGTCGATAATTCGAAAGATCAATATGGTCACGTCCAGGTTTAGGGATGGGAACAATAATAGCATCGCGCCATGATGAAGGAAAGTTTCCAGATGTCCAAATATCATCAAAAACATTTAAAAGGGTCTCTAAACATGAGTCCGGTAAGTGCTTCAGAAGCGTTATCAGCCCCTGTAGCAGTATCATGAGCCTGGTCAAGAGCAGTGTGAAGCTCATGAATAGAAAATAGTTCATTGTAATCTTCCCAATTATCTGAATTGAAACTAATAGTTTTCTTTTCCTGTTGTTTTTTATAATTTTGGAATTGAGGTATATATTTCGATGAGGAAGAGTGTTTGGCCAAAGTTTCTCCAAGTTTATTTGCAATATCAGATTTACTAGTTAATAATTCGTCTCAATCTGTAAGATGCTTAATGCTCGATTGAGCGCCCTTACCTTTTATTTTCTGGATCATATTCCATACCTTTGATATCAGCGTTCGTGAATTTATTTTTGATACATAATTTCGCCAGGACTGACGTTTACTTTGCTTGAAGGTACGCCGTGCCTTAGCATTTAAAATGTTTAATTTATTCAAATTATGGACCATAGGATGGCGACGGAAATAGTGCTCAGCCTTCTTCCGTCCTTCCTGGCTTGTTTGCAGTTATCATTAAACCATGGTTTACGAATGTGTGGATTTGTAGAGGACTTAGGAATGCATTCATCGGTTCTTCAGCTCATCAGAGAATAGTTGTAAAGGGTCAGAAACGGCAATAAACAGATCAGGTTTGAATTTAGTAGAAGCAAGCATTTGAAATAAAGACCAGTTGGCCTTAGTAAAGTTCCATCTTGTTGTTATTAGAAATGAAATCTTCTAAAAGCTTCCCCTTAGCATTTATCTGAGCACTACCCCAAAGTGGGTTGTGTCCGTTTAAATCGCCCATAATAACACAGGGCTTGGGGAGTTGATCATAGAGAACTTGAAGTTCAGACTGTTGTATAGAAGAAGATGGTGGAAGATACAGTGAACACAATGTAAAAGCAATGTGCAAAGTTACACGGACATCAAAAGCTTGAAGCGGAGTAGTAAGATGGACAGGGCTAAGGATTAAACTACGTTTCAGTAAGAGAGAGGAACCTCCAGTCGCTTTAGCTCCAGGAGGGGAAAATACATTGTAGGAAGTATAGCCTCTTACGTCAACTGTATCCGTGTTTTTGTAGAATGTTTCTTGTAAACAGATAGCCGATGGTTGGAAATCTTGAAGTAATAGTTGTAAATCATTTAAATTATTCCTAAGACCTCTACAGTTCCATTGTATTAAGGGATTGGTAGTCATTTAAGGTGGAGTTATGGGAGACCGTTCACGGTCTTTTTTCTTCGGAGAATGACTCCGGTAGCGGGTGCTCTGAGGAGAGGACACATCCATGTCGTCCAACACCCCAAACTTATTAAACAGAAAACAAGGGTTTTTCTGAGCTTTGGGTACACGGCCAGATTGCTCTTTTGGCTTTGAGTAATTTACATTTGCATTTTGTTTCTTTTCATTGGAACGAGTAGTTGTTGTCTGAGATGAAGATGTCTGCTGAGAGGGTCTGTTCCGGATTGTAGTAGACAGTAAAGTTGGAGCAGATGACTCAGTCCAAGTGTAATCAGTCTGGCAACTTACTGAAGTAAATGAAATAGTTTTAGGAGTTGATGATGAGGCAGAAACAGCAGTTGCATATGATGGCCCTTGTTTTTCTTGAGCGAGAACCACTTTCTTCGCATCGAGGAAAGATATGTTACGCTCATGTTTGATGCGTGAAATTTTTGATTGTAGTTTCCACGTTGGGCAATCTTTGGAAGATGAGGGGTGGTTTCCAGAACAGTTTACACAGGAAGGAGATTTGTTACATTGTGAGCTATTGTCACATTTCCCACCACATCTATGACAGGCAGCTGGGTTTCGGCATGATTTCGAGCCATGTCCATACTTTTGACAACTGTAACATCTAAGGGGATTTGGTATAAAAGCATCTACCCTTAATTTGCAATAGCCTGTTTTGAGTGAGTCCGGGCGTGTTGGGACACAGAAGGTGAACAAATACGTATTCGTCTTTATAACTTCATTGTCTTTTCTGGAAGTGAATCTCTTTACATCGATAACACCCTGTGAGTGAACTTCTGAAATAATGTCGCACACATTCATGTCTGAGAGGCATCGTCCAAAATCGCGGACAATACCTTTACTGCTGTTTAAGATTCTGTGAGGGGACACCTGCACAGGAACATTTGCCAGGGATTTGGTAGAAAGTAAAATTTGAAATTGGATCTGTTTTTTACATTCTATAAGTAGATGTCCAGATCGAAGCTTTTTCACCTCTTTTACAACTCCTGCAAATCCTTCAATGCCTTTTGCTATGGCAAATGGATTCAAATGTAGAAGATTGCCAACCGGGGAAGACATTACAAGAAATCGTGCCCAATGGTCAAGGTTGACAGCTGAGACGATATCATCATCCGAAGAACACGAATCATCTGATTCGTGCAAGCGTTTTTTTTTGTGGGGGTGCCATGTTAGAAATATATATGATTCACCCTCCTAGCTCCCCACCCACCATGGAACGTCAACAAGGACGATGCCTCACGTCTGTGGATCTCCAACAGACGGCACCAAGGATACTAGGAGGGTATACTCAAGCAGAAAATATCTTGAAAAGATACATCCTACCAGATTGGCCCATGAGCCACCGCCTTCTGGGCATTATGACTCTAGGCAGAATACAAAAATAGAAAATGTATACATGTATTTCAAAATTCAAATTGTATATTTCAAGAGAAATATTACTTGGCTAAGACCACTGACAAAATATTTTAGAAGTTTTAACAATTTGTGTAACAAAATAATGCTCAGGGATCGGCAAAGGAACACTGTTCCTGGAACCAGTGCCCTCAACCACCAGACTCCCTTCCTCCACCGACACAGGGGCGCAACCCACGGCAAACCGGTTGGTGGACCAAATATACCCCCGGGTCAACGGGGGGTCGAAGAGCTCTTAGCGTGACCCAGCACCCACCACGAGGAGGTGACTCTTCACGGGCTATTCCCAAATGTTTGTGAGATGTGACGTCGTTTATGTTAGTGTTATCCATCGATAAGACTGGTTTGATATTCTGAATGTGTTTACGGGTAAATTGAATAGAGACCGTTTTAATTGGATTAAAATCAACTTGCCATTTTTTAGCCCAGTCTGATATTACAGATAAATCATTATTCAGACAGTTGTGCTGCTACATTTGGATCGTTCATTACTACATAGAGCGAAGTGTCATCAGCAAACAGACGTATATTACTGTCAATGCCATCGACAATATCGTTGATATAAACTAAGAATAATAGCGGTCCTAAGACGGAACCTTGTGGTACGCCAGTTGTAACTGGTTTTAATTCGGAACGCTGTCTTCTATCGTCGAGGTAACTTTTAAACCATAAAAGTAGTTTGCCACAAATACCGTAAGCTTTCAATTTCTGGATGATTCCTCGGTGCCATACTTTATCGAATGCTTTGCTTATGTCGCAAACAACTGCTCTTATTTCCTTCCCTTTATCTAATTCTTTAGCAATAAAATCATAAAGGTAAGTCAATTGGTAAGATGGTGAATCTCCAGGGGTAAACCAGGACTGAAGATTTGTTAGTAAGTTATTGTCTCTGAGATAATTAAATACATATTTAAAAACACATTTTTCAAAAACTTTGGCTAAACAACTAGTTAGTGCTACAGGTCTGTAGTTGTTACATTCATATATACTACCTTTCTTATGAATTGGTATTACTGAAGCCATTTTCCAAATGTCTGGAAATACTGAGAGTTATTAAGAGTGGAATTAAACAATTTAGATAATGGGTCGGATATTACCAGAGCGCTGAGTTTTAATACTCGATTACCGATACCGTCATGCCAGGTTGCTTTAGTGACATCAACAGAAAGTAAAATATCTTCACCTTCATTGGAGCTCAATGTGATGGAGGATAATCTCTGATCCGTTTTTATCATTAATTCTGGTAGGTTTTGGTCAGGACTTTTTACAGTAGCCTGAACGCAAAAGTCATTATTCATAATTGTTACGATATCACCAAGATCATCGTATACTAAATCCCCATGTGCAATTGGAGGAAATATTGTATTATTCCCGGTGCATTTCAAGTAGTTTTTGACTAAGCGCCACCAATGCTTACTACCGTACGAGTCGTTTATCTTTCTATCGAATTTAGAGACATAATTTTTCTTTGCTGTGCGCACAGCTGCTACAACTCTATTTCGGAGTTTACGAGAGTTAGCCTAATCGGAGGGTCGGTTCGCGTTTTAGCGATTTTGTGTACACGGTTACGTTTTCGTATCAAACTACGCACTTCGCCAGACATCCATAACGGATCATTGGGTCTAATAGTAATTGTTGTTAGGTATATTTTTAGCACAAACCTCTAAGAAAGACTTAGAGAACGAGTTTGCTGTTTCATCAATTGTGTCAGATGACAAGATATATTGCCAAGGAACTGCTTTCAATAAGGTTGTCTTTATCAATTTTGTTGTAATTATAAAATACTGTTCGGAATATTGTCCTTAAAGGTTACGAAAATCGGACAATGGT